TTGAATTCTAATAGGGTCAAACTTATTGTTTAATCCTATCAGGAGCTTGCAGATCCTGTCCTCCTTGTAGCTTTTGAGTAGGTCAGCATCTTCATTACTTTTTGCATCAAATTGTTCATAATGGTCTAACTCCTGCCACAGATTTTGTAGTTTGTGGGCATACACTCACCGAGTAATTCCATTGTTTTACATTAGAGATTCTCATCTTAATCTCATACTTGGGCAGCATCACCAACTTTGGAATAATTTGCTTTACAACAATCCGATACCTCCTTAGTTATCTTCATAAACATGTAAGCATCACTAACCTTTAGTGTCATGGCATTCCACAACCATGATATTACAACCGCATTTGTCTTGTCCCATTCTGCAAATTTGGGATCTAAAGACTATGGAAGGTTGTCCGTGAGATGACCTGATTTACCCTTCCCTTTTAAAAAGGTTTGGACAAAGTGAGACCATTTTAGGTAATTTTTCCCCTTAAAAAGGTTTGAAGTATGACAATGCAAGCCTAGAAGGAAAATAGTAGAATAGAGAAAGGGTTGTGGGGTTGCAGCAGTGCAGGCTACATAAGAGGTTACATAGACTCTCAAGGATTTTAGAGTGCTCCTACCATGTCAGAAAAACTGTTTCTGATATTATTTGTAGAGGAGCAGTTGCTCTTAAATAGAATACAAAGACATAATAACTGAAAATCCTAATTTGTGATGAGTATAATTTATCCCTACAATTCAGGATTAGTGATCCTGTATAATAATTTAATATAAAATATATTGTCAACCTATTAATCCTCTTAAATATGCAATGCAATAAAGTCTCCTAATCATGTAATTAAAACTGTAGAGGGAAATATTAACTGCAGCACAAATAAGGGAATTTTGACAAGATATTTACTACTTGATGGGAGGGGTGTGTGATGAAGATCTAAGTGGACTATATGTATAATATAACCAAATTATGGTATTATGAGTGAAGGTCACTCTTACTTTACAAGTTGATTTTATGTAGTTGGGTGAGGTCTACATCAAAATTCTAAGAGGATACATAAGAAATATAGGATGAACCCTTTTTCGAAGTTTGTGGCTACCATAGGAGAAGAAATGAGTTTGGCCTCTGTCATATTGGTTTTTTCTGAAATATCTCTTATGTATATGCTTTGAGTGAGATAAAGCGACCCATGGAGTCAGGCTTGACTTTAATTCCAGGAAAATAGATTAAAACACCAAACTTTATCAATGAAATACCAAATTGAGTTGAGTAGTGAGAATTCGATCAAAGCATGATCGTTCCCAGTAACAACGAGCAATATTGTTAAACTTGAGAGTTTAGGTAAGGTAGTGAAGGGCCTGTAAATTCATGCATACCATAAGGAGTTAGTAACAAAATATCATACAGTTTTTAACTAAAAACTATCCATATATGATCATAGTATCAAAATAGTGAAAATATAATATTCCATGAGTTTCAATATATCTTATATAGGTGAAAAGGGTACTAGTGGTCAAATAGTAGTGTCATCTGACAAGGTTGCAGACAGCAGTATCAGCACCAGTGAGTTTGCAGACTGTAGTATGATGGATTCATCAAACAATAACAGAGGATAATGGTTTGGGAATTTTGCATGAGTGTGTCACAGTTTCGTGAGAGAAAAAGGCTTTAAAATTACGATGAACAATGACAATTCTGGGGTGAAGTCATCAAATTTAAAAATTTAATGTAAACACAAACTCACACTTAAGCTCGTGATTCTACCCAAGTTTATCATTGAGTTCACTGAGTACATCCATGTTCAACATATCCAAGTCTATCATAAGTGTGGTCCAATGTAATATTGGACTTCATTGGAGGATAGCGAGTGCTATAGGATTCGAAACATTATTAGTGGCGATGGATAGTTGACGAAATATGCCCATTTCATTGCAATGGCTCACCCTTTTACTGCCAAGGAGATTGGTGCAGTATTTCGTATTGGGTCTGATGTAATAGAGGACTTGATTGGAGGATAGGTAGTGCTGCTATAGGGCTTGGAAGAAAATTCGTGGTCACGAATAGTTGATGAAATATTGTCATTTCATTACAATGACTCACCCTTTCGAACCAAAGGAGTCTGCTGAGGTGTTTCTTAGAGTGGTGTGTCTGCAAGCGTTTCCCACCTTGATTTGACCAGATATTTATCCATTATTCTGGGAAAATTTCTTTAACTTAGCTTGTGCTAAACTCCTTTATAGTTAGACTTATCACCATCAAATGGACTGACAGATTCAGGTGGTCAATAGGTGAGAGTTAGACGTTGCACAATCGTACTCTTTCTACTTATTTCACATGCAGAAGGGAGAAATTAATAAAGCTTGAGAAAGGAGTAGTGTGTGTGAGAGAGTCTCTTGTTTGTGTTTAAATTGCATTAATTTAGCCAATTTTTTTGTTTGGCAGGGCACCTTTTTTTGAAGTTCAAACTAATGCCTGGGAGTGCTTTTGTGCTATCCATTGGGATCCATCTCATGCTGATTGTGCTGTACCTCAGGTGAAATATATTTTACTCTTCATCTTTCTCCTTGCTGTTGATTATTTTGTCATGAAGGTGTTACTTTTTAATTCTGAGTTGAAAAACTCATTTTCTTTTCATTTTCTACCTATTTGCTTAACCAAGCGTGAACATGAAATATTATGCTGAAGTATTTCATTTATTATGATTGGAGTATTCCTTTTACTTTGGTTGAATATGGTCAGATCTCTATGCTCTCGCACAGACATATTGTTGTGTTCAATGGAGTGCATGAATATAACACAGATACAAGTATTCAGAGCAATCAGTACAGGGGACACAACATATATGGCAAAAGTACAAGACACAATACCATCACAACTAATATATCAACGAGTATTAGATTTTATATAAAACATAATATTGAGATGTTAAGCATAAAACAGCTAGCATTTGTCAGACATGTTCAAATAAATAAAAATATATTTGAAATAGTTGATACTGAAATCCAATTTAAATTATAGGAGGGTACAGTGAGTAGTATTTTGTGCCTATTCGCTATGAATATGGATCTGGACAAGGTCTTAGCTCATTGTATTCGTATAATAAATTCGACAACTTAAATCCTTTATTTTGATCACTTCAAATATTATCATCTTTCATTGAATCCTATCCGTTATTTGCTGCAGGAGCTTGAAACAGATCAAGTATTGAAGCAACTGAAGTATGTGGAAGTGGTATGTATGCAAACTGCATAACTTTCATTATTGTATTTATGTCAAAGGAATATTTGGTGATTGATTGGCAGTTTGCGTTTTTATACTTCTGTTTGTGTGCTAATTAGGGTTAATATTTTAACGAGACTTGAATTGGTTAGATTAGTAAGGGACAAAGGAAAGGCTTTTAAAATGGATCATAGTTAAAATTTTTTACAGAATTATTGAACATGCTTCCATGGAAGTTCTTGTTTACATGCTTAAACACAGTCCACATAAATTTTTCTTTTTAATTTCCTCACTTGCCATACTATATTGCATTTGCTTACAGTTTACCTACTTACATGCTCATACAGCTACGGCCACGAATTTCTGCTAAACGGAAGAAATCAGATAGCACACAAGATATGGATTGAAGTCGCTTGGGTGAGAGAGCTGGACATTTTGTTCTTGTACATGCTACTATTTCCCATACAAACGCAATTTTCGATGTTCCATGCTCATGCCTTCCGCTGTTATTTTTGTTTTTAAGGCATGACATGATGATAGTGGATTTCCAATATAATATTTCCATTTTTTTTTTCTTTTTTGCTTACATGTGTATTGCGGGTAGCGGAGACAGTGCAATGAACCTTGGGTGTAATTTCGCCCATCTGAGGGGCTCCATATCTGAGTGATGCTCAATTTTACTTTTCTATGCCAACTTGTTTGTCTTTCTGGAAGCAAGAATTTGGATTTATGTACTCCTTCCCAATTCAAATATGAAAAAAAATGTCCTATTTTTGGTTTAACTCCGAAGGAAATCTGACTAAAACACTACCTGAAATATAGAGAAAAAAATATCTTCAAGTCAGTAATTCTCGAAGATTTTAAATTTGTCAAGTTTTATGGTAAGAAAGACGAATTTTGTGATATTGGATAATCCCTTCTATTTGCTGTCTGCCTGACAAAATTTTTGTAGTCTAAGTTTTGATTGAAACTGATGAGAAAAGGTATTGGATACTAACTGCAGCTTCTCGATTTCTTCGCCCACTCCCTCAAATTTCTAAATAGATTGGAAATTTTTTGAAACGAGTTTTTCAAAATTTCTGAAATAAGATTGTTGGAATAATTTTTTTAAAACAGAGTTTTTGGAAGAAGATTTTCAAAATGAGATTTCCATAACAATTTTTGAAACGCATAAAATATATTTTGAAACACGCTTTTCTGAATGGAAATTTCAAAAAAAAAAAAAAAAAATTCGGAACGCGTTTAATAACATAAAAAAGAGGAGAAATAAAAAGATTTATTTTTGCACCTCCTTATTTTTCTTATGCATCCATGTGAAAATTCTTATTTTATCTTGACGAGTTTTAAATTATATTATCAAATAGTATATTTTTTTAATTGTATAACTCATAATTTATTTTCTACTCTCAATAATTACTTTTTGTATAAAAAAATGTAGATTACACGATTTAAAAATATATTTTATATAAAAATAATTAAATACAGCTTATAAAAGTAGTTATTTCAAGAAAAAAACTTTCAAATTACATAATTTAAACATGTTTTTCAAATTGTATAAATTAAAAAATCTTTATTTATTAATTTTCTTCATAATTTTCTTTTTAATTAAACATTTTAAACTGCAGAATCCAATTTCATCCACGGTAAAAGGTAAAGGACAAGGTAAAAAATTGCGCAAAAGACAAAGGGATAGTTTGGTCTTTTAAGCCTCCAATGGGTGCAGATGCAAAGTACATGTGGAAAAAGAAATGGCCTAGAAATAAAGAATGATCGAGAAGGAAGGAACGGAACTGAACGTCAGCTACCTGTCCCTCGTGAATATATAATGTGGTCACGGCACGCATCAAATTATTGATACAGCAGCATCAGCACCGGAAGAAAAGTAAACCCTAAGTAAGATGCCGAAGAAGATGGGGGTGAACACCAAGGCGGAGGCAGCGAGGGCGCGTAAGAGCGCGGCGGAAACGGATCGCAAGGAGAAGGAGACTCGACAAAAGGAGGATCAGTACTGGCAAGAGGCAGAGGGCTCTAAGTCACGAGCAGCAAAGAAGAAGGAGGACGAGGCCGAAAAGAGGGCCGAAGCAGCCGCGCGTCGGGCGGAGGCGCGTAGGTTGGCGGAGCAGGAGGAGAAGGAGCTGGAAAAGGCGATGAAAAAGGTGGACAAGAAGGCGAACCGGGTGTCGATACCCGTGCCGAAGGTGACAGAAGTGGAGCTGAGGCGGCGGCGGGAAGAGGAGCAGGCGGAGGCTGAGAAGAAGGCGGAGGAGGTGAAGAAGCGGCAGAGTCGCACTGCTGCAGAGGATGAGTACGAAAGAATGGTTCTCGTGTCCAACACTAATCGCGACGATTCTATCATCGAAGCGAGATCTTTGGATGATGCCATCGCTCAGATGACTGTTGCCGACAACTTGCCCCCCGATCGCCATCCCGAGAGGCGCCTCAAGGCCTCCTTCAAGGTATAAATTCATTCTATTTTTCACTTTTTATCATTTATTTGATTCGATCCGCTAACCATACCTTGCAGGCATTCGAAGAAGCCGAACTCCCTAAGCTGAAAGAAGAGAAACCGGGTCTTACTCATAATCAGTACAAGGACTTGATATGGAAGCTATGGAAGAAATCTCCTGACAATCCTCTTAATCAAGTTAGTCATCTTTTTTTCTTTTATCAGCGATTAGCCTTGCGTCTTCTTTTGGATAGTGACTCTATTTCAAATTACTTGTTTATACTTTTAATTGCTTGCCATATGGACAGATTGCAGAGTGAATGATCAGCTGCAGCTGGATTGTAACCGATGCAACACCCTCTTCGAGTGGGAATTTTCATGGCGTGGTGGATCCATTTCTAGTTGGTAAAATTATAATGCCTGCTCATCTACATGTCCCCCCAAATTCCCAATTAGGCTATAGGAATAGTGTACCTTTCTTCCCTCTGTCTCTCTTAAACTTACATGTTATCACAGGCTTCATTTCCTTTCTTGTTTTGATCCCGCTGCATGCAGAGTATCAAATAGTTCACCTTCTGGACATGCACAGACATTCTTGCCATCAACTTTGAATCGGACTGCTCTGCTCGGGATAAGGGGTTTCTAAACTACATTGTATTTAAATTCAACAAATTATGGTATATCTCCCTTTAGTGTACGTTCACCTACACACAGTTTCTAATTTCTCTCACGTGCGATTTTAATCTCACATAATTTTCTCAGAATTTTTAATTTTTCAATTGGAAATAATTGAACAGAATGTTTAAACAAAGCTTGCAATGAAATGCCAACAAACTTGCAAATGATGGTGTTGACAAAGCCATTGGGTACTGGGTCCATAGAGTACGCATTGGCCTCACTACCTCTGATGATCCTCATGACTCCCATGCCTGTGAAACAACCCTTAGCAAAGCTAAGTCACACTTTGAACTGCATTAAGATCATTGTCTTTGTCACTTAGGCTCTAAACCTTAGCATATTCTTCTTCATAACCTACTGGTCTAACTGTCCTTATTTTTTGTGCATCGACTGTATACTTCATGCAGAAGAATACATCGACTAAGCTTTTTTCTAATGTATATTCTCACCAAAGATATTGTACAAGGAAAAACTTTTTCCTTAGTTTCAATCATTTAAGAGGCACGCAACCTTGACCATCAGAAAAGAATTTTTTGACATCAGAATAGCTTTTGTTAGTATCACTGTTCCTTACCTTGAGGCCAGATCGAAACAGACGCTGGTTCTATTTTGATCTCATAGTTATTAGTACAAGGAATAGATGAACGAATATTTGTCATTTCTCTTTTCTTGTGTTTCGAAGTTACTATTCTAGTAAAAAGACATCTGGGGAAACTTGATTAAAGCATTCAAGTGTGTCGATAATGGATAAATTATCATCAATGGTCAACCTGAGATTGCAATAATGTTTTGGCAAGAAATCCTAGCATGATCTAGGGTTTACAAGTTGCAAAAAATTTGACAGTTACATCCTTTAATTAAGGCTGCTGATTCTTAGCGTGGGTACTGGATGCTTGATGCTTGCAGAAACAAATGGGTTTGTGGCATCTCGTAGATACTGAATATGGATTTCAAACAAATAGTTATTATATCCTATCGATCTTCTCACTAGTCCCTGCAAATTGTCTGACTATCCCTGCCTTTGTAAGTTGCGCATTGCTTGCAGTGCAACAACAAACGAAGTTTGTAATCTTTAGAATTTAGGGTAACTTATGTAGGCTTTTTGAAGTGTACATGTTCTGTTTTCATCCTTCAGTCCACAATTTGATGTTGCAGCGATAACTACATTGAAGCAACTTTCAATCGAGATCATCTTGGGTTGTGTCTTAATTGATGGTCCATCTCGTTGGATTTTGACGATTGGTTGATTTACTTGATCGTCTTGGATTGTGCTACTATGGGGCTTTGTTCAATAACCCAACGCAAGAAAATTATGATAGCTTAATGTCAAACAGGATTTCCCTAACAACTATTTATGAATATATAATATGAACAAGATTCTCATGTGGTAAGAAATGAGAAATCCTGTTCATATCCCAATCTGTTTGACATGTAACCGTCGTATTTCTCTTGATTGAGTTTTGAATAAAGTCTAGATAGCACAACCCCAAGATAATCAAGCAACAAAGGGTTCGATCATCAATTAAGATGCATCATCAACTTGGTCAGAGAATCTATGTATGTTTGTGTCTTATTTGAAAGTTGCTTTACACAGCTAGGAACTTCAAGTCTTGGAATGAAGGTGATAATAAGATAGAGAACATGGGCACATAGTTGCTTATTGTCATGGATTGTAGTAGGTATTTGCTTTACTGCATTAGGCATCATTACTATGGTTTTAATATGGATAGAATTTTGATCTTATGTTAAAGTAGTCGAGTTTTTGTTTGAATGTAGTGTAGCAATATCAACTTTGTTAATATTGTTCATTTATATTGGATTAAGTTAAAACAGTTCCTACTCTCGGTCTTTTAATACTATGTGAGGAAGATCAGAGTTACTTCCCAACTCTTTGGGAACTAGTGCCATGCTTTACATATGCAAGGATAGTGGCATAAGTTGCAGTAACAAGTGGAACATCACTGAGGAAATATTGTTTGAAATCAATATAGTATTTACGAGATGTCACAAACACTTGAATCAAGTACCTGGGGCCAGGAATAGGAAGACCCACGCAAAGTGGGTGGGTGTCCTTTAAGGCTCAGAACCTGTCTAATTTTGTGATAGGGTTTCTCTTTCCAAAGTTACTACTCATGATCACACATTTTTCAATCTCAGTTTGGTCCAATAATGGCGATTTGGCAATTCGCAATATTCTTAAATATTTTAGGATCATATCCCTATTATGAAAATTTGACACTAAACTTAATGCTACAGGTTGATGACAATTCTGTGAGCATATAGAAAAAGATTGTCACTCTAATGCCATTTCTAGAAATATGAATTTGTTAGCAGTGGCTTCTAAATAAAATTATTAATAAATAATTAATATTTGAAGAATATTTAAGATTTTAAAATTAATTAATAAAGCATTGATTATTTCTAAATTAATGTTGAGGTTTTATTAACAAATAGCTCATTGTTGTTTTTAGCACAAAGTAACGAGTTGATTTGATTGTTTTTATTGGTATTTGTATCGTTAGAGATTTTATTGACCTTGAATTTAAGCCTTATTATCGTATTGTTGGTCCGAGAGACTGCTAGATTGTATGTGTTGGGAGTGATTTTTCGGACTTTAAATTTAAGTTTCATGTTCTTGTTGAAGGAATGTGTATCATTAAGAATTTTGCCGATCTATCATGTAAAGATTTTAAGATTGAAGTTGTTGAATTTGGGGGGTTGATTTAAGGGATGAGAAATCAGGCAGTTATATAATTAGATTTTGTGCTCCAAATCGCTTAATGCTTTCATGAAAGAATTTTCAAATTGCTTCATTTTAATTCTCTAATGGTTTCTTTCTATGAAATAATGAAAAAAAAAATGGTAAAGGGATGAAATGTGTAGGTATATTAATTTTTTTACCATTTGTTTAGTAAAGAAAAAAGTTCTCGGTTCCTTTTCTCGTTTTCACTATATTAAAACTTGTTTTCAATTAATATAAAAATAAGGTTTTGAACATTATTTGTTATCTTTTCATTCACTTTTTTTTTTATTAATCCAAACAATTGAAAACAATTTGTTATACTATTTTTTTCTTAACTTCATCGATTCTTTTTTTCTCATTTTCATTTTTATAATTAATTTTCTAGTTATATTCTTTTTATTTTGCTTAACTTAAATAGATTATATTTCAAATTCCATTCGAAGGTGACTTTATGTGAGAATTTGAAGTTTCAATTTGGTTTACATTATAAAGATTTTTTATCGGTATGAATTCATTAAAATGGGCCAGATTTAGTTTGGGTTAAGTTAAAAAATTAATATTTTAAATTGAAGTGAGTCCTTTTTAATTTGTATTTTTTAAATTTGTGGTTTAAAGAGACTTGCAGTTCAATTAGGTTTTTTAAAAACAATATTGATCTGTTATTTTTCTACACTAATAAAAGAAACACTTTTAATATTCAATTATATTAATTATTAAATAAGGCTTTAGTATGTAAGATAATATTTTTTTTATAATATTAGAATAAATAATTCATATTTATTGCTTTAAAATGGACTATGCGTACCAAACTCAGCGTAAACTTATTTTTTAAATTGATATTCTATAAATCAATCATGTCAAATATCCTAACATTATTTTGAATTTTACTTATGTTACATTAGTTTTAAGCTATTCTTATAACTTTTACTTTATTACAATAGTTTTATAAAACTTATGCTTTTTTTTATTATACTTTTGTTTTTCAAAATTTTAAAAATAATTTTTGATTTTTATAAATCATAATTTTATTTAAAATCTAGAGTTTTATTCATCTTAATGAAATATATTATAAGATTTAAATTTTAAGTTTATAAGTTACAACTCTACATTGGAAATGTTTTACATGAGAACTCTTTTTGAAACTTAATTTTTTTACGAGATTCTTTTTATAACATGTACAAATAATCATTTTAGAATTTTTTTAATCAATTCTTAGAATTGTTTCTGAATAGTGTCTCCCTTTCCATCTTTAAACCCATTGTACAAAATTTCTTAATTGGTTTCTAGTGTATCTAATTTATAAATTCACTATATGTTCTGTAATTTCACTCCACGCTTGTACTTTTGTTCTCATTCTTTTTTTAAAATTTTGTTCTTAATAAGAATTTTCAAATTGATGAACTCATTTATAATATCAATATTCCTCCTGGAATAAGTATGACTCACCACATAACTTTTTTTAATGTAAGAAATATATTGTAAGAATTTATGAGTTTTCAAATAGTTTCATAAATCAAAACAAGATCCTAAAATTAGTGATAGAAAATATATGTACCTTTTTTTTGTGAAAAACTATTCTTTAGTGCTATAAAAAAATTCAATCACATGAACAATTTTGACTTTTTTCTGTATGAGAATTCAATTTTTCGAGATTTAAATACTCCTTTTGATTCATTATTTTATTATTTTCTTATTTGATGAATTTAGAGTAAATAAACATATATATATATATATATATATATATATATATATTACATAATATTGTGTGGTGTGGTGGTGGGGAGCGTAGTGAATGGAAGAAGAGTTATCTATCCGTTGAGAGTTCGCGTTGGCATCGACGTTTCCATGGAAGGGTTGGCGCTTCTTCCATTTGCACAGTCACAATTCCTCTTACCGCTTCCAAAGGTTGCCGCCATTCCCAGTCCACACAATAGTAACACTAATGATAATAATACCAATGGTTCGTTATTTCCTTCAATTTTAAGCTTTCTCTACTCTACGCAGTTGCTTCGGATTGTGTTTGTAATAGTAATCGTGATTGCCATTGTGCTCAGGATTTCTGTCTCTCAGACCGCACCGTCGACGCGGGTTTCGTTTTCGCGCTTCATTGTTTTCCAAGGCACATGGTGTTCCTCTTCCCCAACACCACCAACAACAGCAGCAACAAGTCACGGTGAATCCCAATTCTGTGAGTGGGGATTCCATACGTCAGAGATTTCTTCATTTTTATGCTTCCCGCGGTCACAAGCTTCTTCCCAGCGCTTCTCTCGTCCCCGATGATCCCACTGTTCTGCTCACCATCGCCGGGATGCTCCAATTCAAGCCCATCTTCCTCGGCAAGGT